TAGGATTAGTGCATATTAAAGTTTCATATTTCCCACTGTCTCTTGTGCTATAGAAAAGGAGTTTATGACTGGCATCAAATCATGTTTGTTTTTTTTGAAGAGGAATGGAATATTACTCCACTGTCTGAAAATTTGAACATTAAATAGGCTAAATATTATTATTCAGCAAATATGCATCAGACTGACCAAAGGTGACAACAAAGATATAATGTTGTGAAAGATTTTTATTTAAAATAAATGCGGGTCTTTTGAACTTTCAACTAAGAATCTTTTATCTAAGAATTCAAATAAAAATTTTGGAAACTATCACAGCTTCCACAAAAATCTTAGACAACACAACAAATATTAGGCAGCCTCAACATTTATAAGAGTAAAAAATGTTTCTTAAGCATCAAATCATCATATTAGAATGATTTCTGAACGATCATGTGACACTGAAGGCTGGAGTAATGATACTGAAAATTTAGCTTTGCTATTACAGGAATGAATTACATTTAAAAATGCATTAAATTAGAAATTGGTTCCTTTAAATTGTAATAATGTTTTACAGTATCAGTGTTTTTACTTCATTTTTAATCTTAATTATCAAATAAATATTATATATTATATGAATATTAAATAAATATGAGGCAATAACAAAAAAAAAAACTAAATAAGAGCCCAAACTTTTTTTAATGCTGTGCACTTTTAAAGCTTTTGTCATGTTTTATCTTCTCTGTTATGCATTTTTACATTATATGAAATTATATGGCTGCAATCAGGTTTCTATAGAAGCAACTTTGTTGTAAAACTACCAATTTTCATTTTATATCAAGGCCACAATATGCTTGGCCTTGGCTATAAAACAGTTTAAAATAAACAACAGATCATCGTTTACAGCAGTGTGTAAATAGTCATTGGTTTAAATGACCTGCTTTCGAGTGTCTGTAATGATGGCTTTGGATGGGGACATGATTTAGTGAGCAGTTCACCATTTACCAGAGTGTTTTGAACTAAAGGTTAGATGTAATTGTTGTAAGACTCATAACGTGGGAAGTATGTGATGCTGACATTACCCTATACAGTAAGTAGAGCAAGATAATTATTATAATGACGACAGTAATGCTGCCTGTGAGGTCAGATTGTATTGAAGAAAACCCTCTCTCTTTGTTAACCACAGTACTTTTTCAGTCAGATGGCATGTGTGAAAGAACACTTGTCCTTCGAACATTCATTCCTATGTCTTTTTGTGTCAAAGCAAAACAAAAAAAACAACAGCAAACAAAGGCGCATTGGCGTATGGCTGTACTTTAGGCTGTATTGTGTGCGATCCAGGGTTTAGCGTTCACCTTGAGACTGGTTTGGTGATGTTCCAGGAAAGGCCCAGCGTGTGTCAGAGGGTCATTAATCCGAGGCAGAGAGAGAGATCAATAAACCTGATCATTAGTCTCATCAGCTGCTAACGGCGAGCTGAGATCATCTGATTCGCCTACAGATCTGGCACTTCACCCAGGAGAAACTGTTTAGTGTCATGTTCTCTGCGTTTCATGATGGAACGTTGCCTGTGAGGAGAAGCAACCATGGTTGATGGTTTTTACTGTCACAGGACAAGCAGATCTGCTTGCTTAATGCTTTTACATATAAAACAGACTAGAAATAGGCAAAATAATGAAATTCTGACTTTTTCCTACTGTTTTCATAGGATAACTTTTATCCTATGAAGCTTTTATTTGTAGAAAATACTTCACCATAGTTCTCAAATCTCTTTGCTTGCTTTCAATTGAAATGTGACGTGCTATGCAAGGTTTGACGTCAGTGATGCCAAATGTCATTGGTTGTCAAGTATCTTGCCATTGACGTCAAACCTGGTGCAACACATCTAGACGTGCCGTATTTGAATTGAATAAGACACAGCAGGAAGATTTTAAGTGAATCATTATCCATGTTTTGGTCATATGGACTACGTTTAATGTACTTTAATGATACTTTTTTGTCATTTTTGGAGTTCACCGGAAGAACTAACCCCAACTCATAGTTTGAGCACATTAATCTAGAATTAAAGGGATAGTTCACCCAAAAATGATAATTCTGTCATTAACCCTTTGACGCGTACGATCACACCGGTGTGATCAGTCTTGGCTGGTCCCTGAAGCGTACGATCACACCGGTGTGATTAGAACTTTCAGTGCGTCACGTCATCAACTGCTGAATTTAAATCCGCTTTCGCGCTTTGGCTGGCGCAGAGCCAGATCGGACGCGCTGAGCGCTTGTCATATTATCACAAATATTCATTGTTTTCAACCATATAATACTTATTTTAGGTTTCAGACATTTAAATACACATAAGTACTAGCAAAACCATACATTTACAGTTTGCAAAATACATGCTGATGTCTATGGAAACGGCAATAATGATCCTTACAAATATAATCTGACGACATGTTTTTATTGATATCATATACAGATTGTGTAGGTAACTATAAAGTTTACTCTGTTCTTCTCCCAGTTTACCGGAGACCTACTTTAACGTGTTTCGGGAGGAGAGGATGAATTTGCGTGTTGTAAATCCCACAGCTCGGATTCAGCGCGAACTAACATGGCGGCGCCCATCACCCGGTATAGATCAACTAACACGGTCGATATAAAAGTGTTTAAACTACCAAATAGATTTACTTGCACATATTTCAGAACCGGAATATCAGATATTTCATAATATAGTAAGCATGTTTGTGAATATTTTGAATAAAACAGGAAAAACGAAATAAAAGCGATCCATGTGTCATACAGATCTATTGTGGCTGCGTTGTCACATGACAAGCATGGCGCGTCACCATGGAAACAATAAGGCGATACACTCTAAAATAACGGTCGCCTAAGAAAACTCACGCTGGGGGCTAAGCTAGAATATTTTAAACTCACGTGCGAAAGGGTTAATTACTCCCCCTCAAGTCGTTCCAAACCTGTAAGACCTTCGTTCATCTTCGGAACACAAATTAAGATATTTTTGATGAAATACGAGAGCTTTCTGACCCTGCATAGACAGAAAGGGAACTACCACAGTCAAGGCACAGAAATGTTGTAAGAACATCTTGAAAATAGTCCATGTGACATCAGTGTTTCAACCGGAATTTTATGAAGCTACGAAAATACTTTTTGTGTGCAAAGAAAACAGAAATAATGACTTTATTAAACAATTTCTTCTCTTCCATGTCAGTCTTCAGATTAAGGTTGAACCACTGATGTCACATGGACTATTTTAACAATGTCCTTACTGTCTTTTTGGGCCTTGAACATGTCAGTTGCATTGCTGTCATGCAGAGTTAGAAAGCTCTTGGATTTCATCAAAAATATCTTAATTTGTGTTTTGAAGATGAACAACGGTCTTACAGGTTTGGAATGACATGAGGGTGAGTAATTCTTAACATTTTTGGGTGACCTATCCCTTTAAATACCCCTTTTTAGATTTTAGATATAGAATATCACTCCATTATCATTTATTAATAAAATAATTTCAATATATAATAAAAATGGCCTGTTTTCTATTCCTGCATGTGCCTAACACAACCATTTAATTTCTATTTAATTTCTTGCAGTGCTACCTAACACAGATGTCGGTTCCGGAGCCTCATCCAGTCTTGGATTTCATCAAAAATATCTTAATTTGTGTTTTGAAGATGAACAACGAACGGTCTTACAGGTTTGGAATGACATGAGGGTGAGTAATTCTTGACAGAATTTTCATTTTTAGGTGAACTATCCCTTTAACTTGATCAGTTAACTAGATAACATGGTCATAACATGTTTATTTCAAACTAGGAGAAAGAAAGTGTGACTTTCAATGTTCTCATTCCTGTAGAAGTTGTCAGTGGAAGATTCTCTTTCTCTTTTCTCTCACACTCTCGGCGGATTCCATGTTGACACCTGAAAGTGTGAATTATTCATTTCTTCAGGCAGATGAAGAATGGGTGGCAGGGGCATGTGATGCACTCAGACTCATGCACACACACTTACACAGACACTCAAACCCGCTCATGGGCACATATACTGTACATACACTACTGTTTAAAAGTTGGGGTCAGCAAGATTTTTTTATTTTAAGAAATTAATACTTTTAATCAGCAAAGATGCATAAAATGTATAAAAAATAACAGGAAAGACTTTTTTTTTTTTTTTACAAAAAAAAAATCTATTCATCGTGAAAAATGTCATGGTTTCAACAAACATATTATACAGCATGACTGTTTTCAACATTGATAAAAAGAAATGTCTTGAGCATCATATCAGCATATTAGAATGATTTCTGAAGGATCATGTGACACTGAAGGCTGGAGTAATGATGCTGAAAATTCTGCTTTGCATCACAGAAATGATCATTATAATAAAATAGAAAAGTTATTTTAAATTGTAATAATATTTCATAGTATTCCTGTTTTTACTTTTATTTTTGATTAAATGAATGCAGCCCTGTTGACCATGACCACTAAGGTCATATTGTTCTTTTGTTTTTAAATAGGCCTAAAGCTTTCTATAAATATGACTTTTAGCATTTTAGAATAAAAACATTATTATTATTTTTTTTTTTTACATTTGAAAATGACCCTTGACATTTTTAAAGGGTAATTTTTGTCATATTTTTCTAAATTTTGGAGACAATTTTGTCACCAGTGTCTATAGCCAAGTAAACCTGCAGTTAGTATAAATATATAGAGAAATAATAGCTCTAAAGTACATTACTGTGCATTGCATTTTCCTTCTGGCTGCATCTGTTAGAGTTGTGTAACAATGTGGTGTGACAATTACATCGAATTTACACAACAAATGCATCACAATGAAATGTTCATCATAGTATTTTCATATCTCACCCAATTTATGAGATGGGCAGCATGTGGACTTGGACTTTGAAGAAATGTTAATACTTGTTTGTAATAATAATTCTAGAGATGATCAGATATAATGCTGATGATAATACAGGTAGCACTCATAATAACAATAATAATCAGATGATTTGTTTTTCCCCACAGGTCAGTCGTGTTTTGAAACCCGGTGGCCGTTTCATCTCTGTCACGTTTGCGCAGCCACATTTTCGTAAGAGACTCTACGCTCGAGCGGAGTATGACTGGTCTATCAAGCACTATCACTATGGCAGCAGCTTCCACTACTTCCTCTATGTTCTCACCAAAGGGGAGGAGCTTAGCTCAGAGGATGCTGCATTGGAGAGGAGACTGCTTGAGGAAGCTGAGGCTCCACCCACCAATATAAGATTTCAAGAAGCGGATTCTGAGGACTTCCTGAATAACATTGGATTATAGGGACTTGTACAACATCTATCAATCAAGAGAGTTGTACAGCATTCTTATACATTTTTTAGGCTCCTATCCTAGTTCACCCAAAAATTACACTTCCTCTCCTTCACGTTGTTCTAAATTCATTAGATTTTTTTTTTCTTCCTTGGAACAAAACATTAAACAATTGTTGTTGTTGTAGTTTTTGGAGTTTGACATGCATTCATTCACTTTCATTTACATGTGTGTTCCAGGGAAGAAAGAAAGTCATACAGGTTTGGAACAACATAAGGAAGAGTAAATCATAACAGAAATTTAATTTAATTTTCTAATCAGTTTTCTTGATTAAAAGAGGAAACGATTACTAACTTTTTATTTTTATTTTTTTGTGATGTTAAGGACAACATTGCACTGAAATAAAACAAAACATAGTAACCTCCCCTCTGGGATCCTGTAAACTTTTTTAATTAAATGTTTGACTTTAACGGCACTCTGTATCGGTTTAGAATTGGTTCAATACTTAGACTTGGAACAACTATGCTTTTAAACTATTTCTTTTAAATATCTTGTATATTTTTTAAAAGCCTTTTTTTTTTTACCATGCTTTTTTAAGGATGCTTTAATGTGAATTTGCACTCTGTTCTGCATTTTCTCTCTCTCTCTCTCTCTGTGGCCTATTTCTCTGTGCGATTGTGTTGATTGGTATGACAAGGTTGAGTGCTTGACACCTGCACACTTGTGCAGAGACAAATCTGTCACAAACGCTTCTCAAACAACAAATAAACAGACAGACAGAAAACAAACAGCCCTGCTGTGTGCCAGAATATGACAGACGTGTCTGCGCTCTTTTGGATGAGGAATGGCTGCAGTGAATCGGAGGAGGCCATTAATAAACCAGAAATCATTTATTTTTAATTTAGCTCTGGAATGTAATTACCGTCTATTTTTAAGGCTTGAGGAAGGTGCCTGAATTTCAGAACAGCTTCCTGTGTGCCAGTGTGAACATAGATTGATTTTTATAGTAAATAGAGGAAAGTTATTCTTGAACCAGGAGAGACCAAAACATATTTAAACACACACTATGTCATGGGTGGTTAACAAGGTGTTACGAGTTCTTTTTAGAATGTTGCTAGGCGGTTCCTAGGTTGTTTCTACACAAAAGGCCATCCCAAAAGAGATAGTTGTATCCCTAAATATGCCTTGGGTAAATCTATGGGATTTTTTTCATCCATTTTATTGTCTTCCAGGCAAAAACCATCAGTTTGATTGTTTGGAACAGTAATAGCGCACCTCTTCTCTGTAACTTGTGCAATTTGAGGAACTCTTCAGGTGTCCAGGTGGGATGAGTTACGCACCCATATTAAAACAAAAGGTGGTGGATTTTGAAGCCCTAACACTATGGAAAAAGTAATGGTGAGCATGTACCATTAAATGGTGAGCGTGATTTGACCAAGTACAACATGTTCCTGGATCAACATCTTTGTTGATCCTGGAACATCATTCCAATCAACCAATCAGAATTGAGAGATAACTTTTCAGGAAATGTCAGTTTTAGGCTTACAATCAGGATTAGGTGCTTCTACACCCTTGTTAATCAGCTATCATTTCCCTCTGATTTTAGGAATAAATTATGGGAAAGGTTTAGGGGTGGGGATTGGGTTAAGTCTGTATTTTTGGACAGTAATGTTGATCCAGGATCAACAAAAGATGTTTTACTTGGCAAAATCACGGTGACCACCATTAAATAGTAGCGGTTCATATACCAGTAGCAGTTTCATAAACTTTTAGTTCGGAGTTGATTGTGTCCAGATTGAATGTGTTATCTGTGAAAGCTGATGATGTAGTCACAGGTCTTTCCCCTTCACTGAAGCACTAAGCAATGACGTCAGGGCAGGGACCGTATCAGATGGACGCTGGTATCAGGTGAGCCGCACATATCGGGTGTAGATTTATTCTGTGATCGTATCCTCACGACATGCTGTGTGTGTGGCAGGTCTTCAGGAACCAAGTGCTGCCTAAACACCATAAAGCTGCTGCGGAGAACAGGAGACCCTGATTAGTCTAATGGCTGGTTATGTGTTGTTTACCCCCTCGCAATGCAAACCCACACGCAAGCTTTACTTCATATTGACATTTAAGACCATGATATTCAATAATGTGCTTTTGAATAATTGATTGAGTAATTTCAGAAGTGTATTTGTGAGATATTTTCTGAGCTGTTGTCTTGTCTTGGAGAAGAACTGGAACAGTTCTTGTATGGTACTCAGCAAATTTAATTCTGCATGTCATGAACGTTGTTGTTATTGACAACAATAATGCCTTGTTTGAAAGTTGAAATTTTTTTTTTTTTAAAAAGCCTTGAGATTTAATTAATTTGGATAGATTGATGCATGGACGGATGGATGGATGGATGGACGGACAGATAAACAGTTGGATGGATGGGTGGAGAGACAGGCAGATAGATGGATAGATGGGCAGATATACAAAGAGGAGGATAGACCAACAGATAGGTGGATAAATTAATAGATGCATGGATGGGCAGACAGACAGATGGTTGGTTGGATGGATGATAGATAGACAGGCAGATGAACAGACAGATGGGTAGTAGATGGATCGAAGGACGGACGGATGGATGGATGGGTGGATTGATACAGACAGATGAATGGATGGATGGAGAGATGGGCAGATAGAGAGATAGATGGTTAGTTGGATAGATGGATAGACAGACAAACAGATAGATGGATGGATAGAAGGGTAGATAGACAAAGAGAAGGACAGACAGATAGGTGGATAAATGGATAGATAGCCGGGTGGATAGACAGACAGACAGACAGACATATGGTTGGTTGGTTGGGTGACGGACAGACAGATTCAACTAAAATTCACACTCATCATGAATTGAAAGTGAACCTGCTCTTTAATTCAGAATTTTGCCCAGAGCTGCTTTTGAAAAATTGTCAATAGAGAATGAAGCTTTTTAGGTCCAGATGGTGTAGTTACGACATCTACCAGCAGGGGCTAAACAGACCGGCTAACCTGCCAAACCTTGACCCCATTGGTGCATCCCTGCCTCTAGTGTACAGACAGATCGTTTTCATGAGTCACTGTTATTGCACACACAAGAAAAGAATCAGAAATGATCATTTTACCCTTCAATATCATTAATCAAAGATTGAGATCCGCCTGTTCATCAAAGCTCATGTTTCTGTTCTGTTGTTGAGCAGGGGGAGGTGTCAGGACACACCATTACATCATCCAGCAGCAGCAGCAACAACATAGGCTGTGGTATTGATAGCAGACACATAAACCCCTGCTCACAGCCAGCCAGCTCCACTGACAACACTGTGTGTAATGCAGCTTAGTGCAATGTTTACCCTAGAGACGTGTCTGTGTGTTTGGTCACTACTGTTCATAAGGTCAAAGCAGGGACATTTTTGGAGCAGAGGGCAGCACTTCAAAATCTAATTGGCTGATTTAATTCATTTGTTTAAAACAGTTCAGCTAACTCTGTTATCCTCAGTACAGCTGATTTAATTCATTTGTTTAAAACAGTTCAGCTAACTCTGTTATCCTCAGTACAGCTGATTTAATTCATTTGTTTAAAACAGTTCAGCTAACTCTGTTATCCTCAGTACAGCATCTCTCTGTTATGTGCAGGGTTATGTTACGAGTTGAAAAATCTAAATTAAATTGTAATTTAAATTTCGACTGAGGCAGGGTTTTTTTTTTTTTTTTTTTTATCTCTAGCTAACCTGCCAAACCTTGACCCCATTGGTGCATCCCTGCCTCTAGTGTACAAACAGATCGTTTTCATGAGTCACTGTTATTGCACACACAAGAAAAGAATCAGAAATGATCATTTGACCCTTCAATATCATTAATCAAAGATTGAGATCCGCCTGTTCATCAAAGCTCATGTTTCTGTTCTGTTGTTGAGCAGGGGGAGGTGTCAGGACACACCATTACATCATCCAGCAGCAGCAGCAACAACATAGGCTGTGGTATTGATAGCAGACACATAAACCCCTGCTCACAGCCAGCCAGCTCCACTGACAACACTGTGTGTAATGCAGCTTAGTGCAATGTTTACCCTAGAGACGTGTCTGTGTGTTTGGTCACTACTGTTCATAAGGTCAAAGCAGGGACATTTTTGGAGCAGAGGGCAGCACTTCAAAATCTAATTGGCTGATTTAATTCATTTGTTTAAAACAGTTCAGCTAACTCTGTTATCCTCAGTACAGCTGATTTAATTCATTTGTTTAAAACAGTTCAGCTAACTCTGTTATCCTCAGCTAGGTCATATAATGCTTATAAATAAATAGTATGGTTTAATGATAACACAAACATGAATGTTTACATATTTACATGGGCCTAATGGTTAGAGAGACTTGTAACCCAAAGGTTGCGGGTTCGAGTCTCAGGTCCGGCAGGAATTGTCGGTGGGGGGAGTGAATGTACAGCGCTCTCTTCCACCTTCAATACCACGACTGAGGTGAGACCCTTAAGCAAGGTACCGGACCCCCAACTGCTCCTCGGGCGCTGCAGCAAAATGGCTGCCCACTGCTCCGGGTGTGTGTGTTCACTACTGTGTGTGTGCACTTGGATGGGTTAAATGCAGAGCACAAATTCCGAGTATGGGCACCATACTTGGCCACACTTCACTATTTCTCAAAATTAACTATATTTTGGAACAGACATAAGCTTCTATAAAATTGATCCGTTTCTGATGTCGAATATAGCCAAAAATGGGCATATATTACAAATATTGGCAGTCACACTTCATTTTAAGGCCCAATTCTTGCTATTAACAAATCATTTACTATGAATTTTGCCTTAATAAACTCCTAATTTGCTGCTTAGTTAGTAACTTAGGTAGCTGTTAAGTTTAGGTATTGGGTAGGATTAGGGATGTAGAATATGGTCATCCAGAATATGTGCTTTATAAGTACTAATAAACAGCCAATGTTAATAATAGGCATGCTAATAAGCAATTAATTAATAGTGAGAATTGGTCCCTATACTAAAGGGTTACCATATTGGCAAATTTGGTACAAACTATTTTTTGGTTAAAGTCAATTTGTTTGCTTTTAATATGGTTTGCACATGTTGTTCTGGGTCTGGTTTTGGATGGATGGATGGATGGATGGATGGATTTTAGATGGATGGATAAATTGATTTTTGATAGATGAACTTGTAGTTTACTTGTATTTGTGTTCTTCAAACTTGTGTTCCAGGTTGAACGCCAACCTGAAACACCAACAATGCATTGCAATCCATTAAATTTCTCTTTCTGTAATTTCCAATTCAGCTTCCTTAATGCTGTGGCCAGTTCAATTCAAATTCATTTGCTGTATATTCAGTATAATGGGGATTTCAGGTCATTCCTGGCATGTATCTCTTTAATTGCATAATGGTGCAACATACAAAAGTTATTTTAATGATGAACTACAGATTCTGGAACAAAATTCCTATTCCTATTCCACAAGCTACTCCTAAACTCAAAGCGAAATGATAGGATGAATGTTAAGTCCCAAGCCAATCCCTAAACCCAATACTAAAACATGATTGGTTGACAGGAAAGTTGTACTACAACCAACCAGGATGTGTATCCAGGATCTTGTCCTTGGATAATCATGGTAAGCAGAGCCACACTGAGCCATGTGATGAATGAGAATCTGGTTTGCAACGTTTCTTATCTTTTGCTCATCAGTTCCTGTTGTCTATCTACAATGCTCTTAAAAAGTAAAAAATGCCAAAAGTATGAGTATTTGGTTTGGCAGTATGACACTGACATCAATTCCTCTGTGGCTGAATGTGAATCTGTGCATATTTATGGTTCATACGAGCCAGTTCAAACACTTACACTTTGACTCACAGTGGCGTTAAATGAGAATTTACTGCAAGAAAATATGTTATTATCGCTAATGATGGAGATCAAAGTGGCACCAAATGAAAGCTACAAACTGGGATGAATCAAGGACAATGCTTTTAAATCAAATGTCTTTCTCTCTCTCGTGCTTTTCATTTCTTCCAGCAGAGAGCTCATTCTTTGAGAATCTTAGAATGTCATCTCTCCTTTCCTCCGTTATCACGCTGTCAATATCTGCCGAGAGTTGGGCTTTCCATATTGGGTCAGGCCACAGCGTCGCTCAGTCACTCCAGAGCTGCCGTGGGCCGCCTGTCTGTTCAGATAGTGTATCAGTAATCTCCAGCTCTGAGCAGCATGTGTGAAGCGCTAAGGATTCCCTTGGGCATTGGAGCCGTTCAGGAACACTGCAACAGCCATGAAGGTGTATTGATAGACTGAGATGGTGAAGCTGAGTGTCCTTGACTGCGCTTGAGTGAGTGTCTGATGGACTTTCTGCTGTGCAAGGACCTCGTCGAGTCTCGAGAATAAACACGCACAGATGTTGGGATAACTGCTGAGGTTAAACTGCCATTGATCATCTATAAAAATCGTTTGGAAATTTTAGAAGCCAAACTTGAGCTTGGGTCAGCTGGAGTTATAGAACGTTATCAGGATTGCATGAGTATTGGAGTTTAAATTGATTTAGGTAAGCCTGACTTGTTTCCAGATGGATCCTGAGCCTCATTGCACACATTGGATATAGCTGACCCAAAGCCCACTCATGGCCGCATGACGGCACAGATCACGGATAAAAGCCATTGATTCTCTTGCGGTTGAAACGCACACATTGTATCGGAGATGTGTGTCTGACTGTGTGTGAAGAAAAACATCAATATTGCTGTAAAATCTAACTGCATTTCAGAGTGTTTGGAGTAAACGGGAAGCAGCGTGTGGCTTTATCCAAGCTGTGTAGAAACAATATTCAGCTTAAATGAACAACCTCAATAGAAATAATTACCTAAAATCACCACTAACATCCTGATTGTGTTTTTACTTGGTCTGTTTACTCGCTAGCTTGATTTTAATGTGCCACGTCTTCTTTTAAAGGGAACGTTCACATCAAAATGAACATTATGCCATCACGTACTCACCCCCATGTCAGACCAAACCTGTACGACTTTCTTTCTTTAGCGAAACACAAAATAAATATATATTGTGAAGAACATTGGGATCCAAACTACATTGGACCCAGTTGACTTTCAGTGAATGGAATAATCCACTTTCATGTCAGCCCAAACCTTTTTGACCTTCTTTCTTCTGCATAGCACAAAAAATAAACAATATATTTTGGAGAACAAACAACATGGGACCCAATTGATTTTCACTGTATGCACAAGAAAAAAATCCTGTTTTTTAAAAGTATCTTTTTGTGTTTACAGTTTGGTGTAAACAGGAAGCAGCATGTGGTTTAATTCAAGCTGTGTGAAGCAACATTCAGCTTAAATGACCTCACCAGAAAAAAAGACCACTAATATTGTGGTGATTTTTTTCACCTGGTCTAGCTAGCATGTTTTATGTGCATTTTTTTAAGCATGTGTTTATATTAAAGGGAAAGTTCACCCCAAAATGAACAATCTGACATTATTTTCTTACCCATGTTGCTCCAAATCTGACCACTAATATTGTGATTTTTTTCACCTGGTCTAGCTAGCATGTTTTATGTGCATTTTTTTTAAGCATGTGTTTATATTAAAGGGAAAGTTCACCCCAAAATGAACAATCTGACATTATTTTCTTACCCATGTTGCTCCAAATCTATATGACCACCTTTCTTCTGCAAAACACAAAAACAAAATTGGACCCAACTGACTGTCGTTGTATGGACAAGAGAAAAAACACTTTTCAAAATATCTTCTTTTGTGTTTTGCAGAAGACAGTAAGTCATACAGGTTTTCAACAACACGAAGGTGAGTAAACGATGACTGAATTTTCTGAATTGCATCTTAAAACATTGTCACTATAGTGTCGGACTGAACTGAATCAACATTAAACTGACTTGAATTGAACAATGACATTGCTGCCTTTTGTAGAACTTGCACTTGATATGAATTTTATCTAAACTGAACCAACACTCAACTGAGTTCAGCTAAATAATAAGAACTAATATATTTTAGAGCAGCTTTACAGCATAATCTGAATTGTCTCCATATTGTCGAGTTTCTATAACTGATTCTGCTATTTTCCTGTGTATCGCTGTGTATCTGCTTTGACATAATCTGTATTGCATAAAGCACTACAGAAATAAAGGTGACTTGACTTAATTTTGGGGTGTACTCTCCCTTCTCAAATGATTTTCTTGACCAAATACATCAAGGCCTAAAATCCATCAATCTCTATTTTATATCGAAGTGTAGAAGATTCTCCAGTAAAAGTAGTAGCACAGCTCAAAGCTCTCATAGGACCTAATGCCACAAGAACAATCTTCCTGTCATGACTGAGCTTAGCCTGAATCACTCTGAGTGTGATTACATGGCCATCAGAGCTGGTGCCAAACTTCACTGCATTTTTTGAGAAGTACAGGCCTGGAGTGCACTAACACTCTCTCCGTACGGTTTCATCCTCATAGACGGACTCCAGCACTAAAGATCTGTGAGGAGATGACAGGCCGAAAGAAGATTGCAGTTCTCTGAGCTCCACAGTAAGATACAACCATCCTGACATGAATTATATTGAAACATTAATATTTCATTTGACGACAACAGCTTGATGTGGTCATTTAAAACTTCTCTGGGATATTTTTAAATGTCATCATACTTGTTTCATCATTTGATGGATAGTATTTGTGCCTTGTTTATTAGTATAGGCCTACTGTAAATGTAGATGGGTTCACCAGCAGGCTGTGCATGTGTTGTGATGACCTCAAAATCAATATTTGTGACTTGTTTACCTCTTTGTAATGCAGCCAAATGACGACAGAAACGCACATCTGTATGTTCTTCCACCATTTATTAGTTCACCAAATACAGTGAAAATGGTATTTTAATATGCAATGATTCATTCTTAGAATGTCATGACATTTTTGTTGCTTTTTTTGCTTAATAAAATGATGCTCCATTATTGAAAAGTATTAAGGTTTCATGCACAACAAACCGTAGTCAGTTTCTTTAGAATAATGGTACAAAAAATTCAAATCAAATCAACAAAAGAAACGTAATGTCCAAAAACATGTCAAATAACAAGAAGTTATTTGAAGATATTCGTAAACAGTGCAGTAGATTTCTAATATCGCCATTTTTCTAACAAATTCATCAACAAAGCTCAAATCACAGTTTACGATTTCCATATAACAGTAGTTCAACACAGATGTGTGTGTGCAAAAAACCAGAGAAACATTCATTCATCAAGTCTTTTTTTTTAAAGAACTGAACCAAACTGAATTATACTCTCGTCCCTGTCTAAAGATTGTTCTCTGAAATATAAACATCATTGTTGATGAATCTTTAAGACGACATACTAGCATATCATTTTAAATAACAAATATTTAGATATAAAAATACAAATATGAAGCGTGCCAGGGTAAGATTCATGGTGGCACCTCTGTTGGCACCGGAGTGAAAGTTCATGCAAAGAGATGGACACGACAAAAGAAATGTGAGGAGCTGATGAATTTTTTTTTTTAATTTATCAAATTAGGCTTGGAAGAAATCAAGATGCATTCATGTTGGGTTAATTACAAGAGGTGGTAATGCACAATGTTCCTCTGTGCTTGTACTGACGATGTGAATCCGTGGCGCAGGTGCGCAAATCAGCTGCAGTTCAAGGGCAAAACAATAGATCACCAGACGACGCTTCAACACCTGTGGGTATGTGTATGATAATATTCTCAATTTCTGAAAAAAGAATATGATGCAAAATAGCGAAAGAAAATATTCACATTGCACCATCCGTACATAGTTCATTTATCATTATGGAGCTCAGTGTCTTTGCGTGTGAAGTCTAAAATGTCTCTAAAAGTAGCAGTCGGATTGAAGTCGACGCTCAAGGCAGATCCACATATGTGTGTGCGCGTGTGCGTGTTTGTGTGTTATGGGGAAGGTCTTTGAGCTAAGATACTGTACATCCATCTATAGTAACAGAGCGTAAGATGCGGTTCAGTCTTCGGTTGAACTTCGTGTTGCTTACAGCGCTTTTGGAAGATGATGGTCGTGGAATAATAATGGCAAGTCCATCCATCCTTATTCACAGATGAGCCGCAGCGTACAAGAGGTGGTAATGCACAATGTTCCTCTGTGCTTGTACTGATGATGTGAATCCGTGGCGCAGGTGCGCAAATCAGCTGCAGTTCAAGGGCAAAACAATAGATCACCAGACGACGCTTCAACACCTGTGGGCATGTGTATGATAATATTCTCAATTTCTGAAAAAAGAATATGATGCAAAATAGCGAAAGAAAATATTCACATTGCACCACATAGTTCATTTATCATTATGGAGCTCAATGTCTTTGCGTGTGAAGTCTAAAATGTCTCTAAAAGCAGCAGTCGGATTGAAGTCGACGCTCAAGGCAGATCCACATATGTGAGAGCGAGCGAGAGAGAGAGAGAGAGAGAGAGAGAGCGCAGCTGAGTGAGTGTAGGACTACATCAGCGGTCGGGTGAAGTCTGCTGTAAGATACGGGAGATCCCGCGATCATAAAGGAAACCCGGGCGGAACAGTGAAGTCATCCATCCGGGCGTTTAGGAGCGAGAGAGAGAGATGGGGACTCCAAGAGGTGCAAGGGTGGCCCCATCAGGCGAAAGCTGAAATTGGCGAGAGGAAACACTGAACGGCGCTCTGCAGTCGCTCCTTTGTATGTGACGCACGGTGTTCGCTGGGGTCTTTGGAAAGCCTGTGGTTTGGAAGCTAAAAGAGGAAAAGATCGCAAGACCTGATATATGGAGATCACTTTAGATCTCAACAACTCTATACTGCAAGCTTTATTGTGCCGTTACATGTTGCTGCAAGAGGCTTATAGCCTATGTGTAGCTTATTTTTCAACTTTGGGCATTTTTGTCGTAGGGGTTAATTTTTTATTAAAATATAATATTTTGGAGATTTTTGATCTGCCCTAACGTCTACATTCGTAAAATGAATTCATAAACTTCAAATTCATAAAATTTGTCATTTTTAAACCTTTTTTATTTTTTATTTTATTTTTAAACCTTTATGTTGTTCCAAACCCGTAAAATATAATTATTCTATATAATTCTCTTCTTTCTTAAAACATAGCCTATGTATATTTTTGTTAATAAAGGTCACACACAGTCTAGTACATTTTACCCATTCCTTTCCCATTAATTTTTGTTGTCACTTTTCAAATGCATTTTTTACATACTTTATTAATATGCATGATTTTTTACGCTTATCCCAGACCCAAATTTCCAATCTTAAAATAAAAAGTATTAAATGTTACTTTTTTGAAACATTGCTTATTTAAGCAAAAAATAATGAAATAAACATTATATGAAAATGAAATAAACATTTAAGCTATAGAAGTTATATAGTTTCAATATTCATTTGAAGGTTTAAAGGTTTAATTTCCACCACAACAAATAGTTTTGTCCCAGATAGTCTTTGCAAAAGTTAGTAACAACAGTGTCAGTGAAGAACATGACAAAATAAAATAAATTATTCCTAATTTTCAGTCAATCTGTATTTTTTTTCAGTAGGCTAGATGCAAAAAGTGTGAAAATATTATTTGAGTGTGTCTATTTAGTGTATGGGCCTATACTAGCTGTGAAAAAAACGATAACCTAACTATATTTATGAAATTTCAATAATCGTTCTAATTTTATGAGAATAGTAAAATTACAGTTAGGCCTATATAAAACTTAAAAACTTGAACTTCGTGTTGCTTACAGCTTAGCCTACATAAAACTAAAAAAACACAACTTTACTGTCCGTTGGTGTGGACGCTAATATTGCTTTTGGTCTAGTAGTGAACGGAACGGATCGATTCTCAAATATGTGTAAGTAAATGCGTTTTGCACCTTTATAGATTATGTTATTTGATCAATGGTGATGGGCAAAGTAGACTAATAGTGTAATCTATTAACTACACACAAAAACCCGACTTTTTACTTAAGTACCAGATATGAGTGTCATGCCATAAAATGTTTTTAATACGACTGACTTTGTATTTAATGTGAATTTAATAACAATATTGTAAGTTACTAATTATAACACTTTCATTTTACAGAGAGCAAAGAACATTTACATTATCAAAGAACATTTTTATTCAGTCTAGCCAGAGGCACTCTCAAAAACTTCCATTAAAATCACTGAAGCTGTTTACACTGTGAAATGAATATCGTAGTACGCACATCTGCACTTTGTTGTTTCTGATGAAGGCAAAACACCGCGTTTCAGCGACGACTCATCTGAACGTTTCTGATTGGCCATTGTATTCCTAAGCTCAACAGAATCGTGTGTGATTGGTTGTAATGCGCAGTGCTGTAAAAACGCGTCTGTCTCTGGCGTAGCGTCAGCCAGCGAACGCAGATTTGAATTTAGCAACGGATGCTGTGCCGCACTGAACGATCTAATCACACCGGTGCGATTGTATCAAATATAAAAAATATTATTCCGCTATTTTGTTCTTTGGGAAGCTGCATTCAAAATGCACTTGGCTCAGAAATCTGAGGGGGCACGTGCCTCACTTTGTATGGGCATGACGCCTCTGAGCGCACGTCACGTTCAGCTCGTCTGTCCTCGGTCTCCGGATGCCGGAAGTAGTTCGTCACCGTGCCCCACCTGTTGCCTTTCCAATACTTCCTTTGAATTAATTATGTTTGAATGAAGGCTAAGTAGGGGTTTATTATGGTAATGACGCACCTGCCTTGCATGAATAATATCTCTCTCTCTCAATCTATATACTATGAGACATATTTAAGCACCCTGGATAGAGCTCACAAGGGCCCTAAAATGATCTTTAAATGGTTTATTCATATTTTTACTCTTAAAATACCAATGCAAAACATAAACTTCTAACCTATATTTTACTGTATCCCCTGCAGCATTACAACTAGTGAGCATGTAGGCTTTTCTCTGTGAATCAACTCAAGCATTAGATTGTTGGCATGGCAACAATACTCAGAAGACTGCATTTCTCAAAGCTCATTTTCATGTCTTCACTGTCCTCCTGAGCAAAAGGATTTTCATAGTCTGTGCCGCTCCACTGCTCAAGTAAATGAATGAATGACAGTAGGCCGATCCTGATCCATACTGACAAGTCATTTGAAAACCAGTGGTCTGGGCTCTGAAATGAACCATTTTTAGGGATCTATGGAAAACTCCAGCACTTCACTGTGGTGTCGCAAATGGGTGAATGTCTGTTATACTTAGACTTAGACTTTACAGTGCCACTGAACTCAAGCTGTTCAGTGATTCCAATGATATAAGACACTTGAGTTTGCAACAAACAGTAATAGCCTAGTCATTTTTTTCCTGTTACAGTGCCACCAAGTTCTTAATTTCTTTGTGTTTTTAAAGGGGTCATCGGATGCCCATTTTCCACAAGTTGATATGATTCTTTAGGGTCTTAATAAAAAGCCTATAACATACTTTGGTTAAAATTTCTCAATGGTAGTGTAAAAAACACCCTTTTTACCCTGTCAAAATCAGCTCTGTTGTCAGCACGCCGTTCTAGTCCGTGTTACTTTAAATGCTAATGAGCTCTGCTGACCCCGCCCCTCTCTTCCGTGGGGTGACGAGCAGACTGTAAACTTCAGCCGCGAAACTTGCTAACTAGCACATATTAGGAAAGGCGATTTGCAAAGATTCATCAAAAAAAAAACAGTCGGCTCTTTTAACACAGACTTTTAAGAAGGGATGGATGTTTGCTTCAAGTGATAGGCCAGGTAAGTGAAATTATATTATCTTTATGCGTGTCGTTTTCTTTACGTTTTCTGACTAAAAGCAACCAAAAAGTCATTTTAAAGTGGTTAAGCAAATACTACTACTACTACTAATAATCGGCAGGGATCCCCAGACCAATACAATTAGTGTGCCGCCTCTATTTTAAAACCCACGAGCCGCCACTGGTCGGGAGTAAATGACGACTGGTTTGTTCATTATTACATCCATCAACAAAACACCTCAATCGCTTAATCTGAGACATTCTTGTCTTCCCCTGCACCGGAGTCCTGATGAAATTACAATCGCTAGGTGATAGAGAAGGGGAGCGGGAGGCCGGGGGAGAGCTGAGCTCTCGTGCCTCCGTTGTTAAAAAAAAATTCGCCAATCACCATCGAGTGTTCACTTTCAGTGCTGAGGAGTGTTGAGCTCTCAGAACAGCCTGATTTGAGAAAGGGGATTTTTAAAAAAGCCACTGGGTGGATTTTTATCATTATAGGGTGGATGTGTACACACACTTCCAACACACATTTATGTTCAAACAACAACAAAAGTGAATTTTGCATCCGATGACCCCTTTAAGTCTAGTGTCCTTGTTTCCCTCTGGCAGGTGTTGTGTTCAGTCACAGAAGTGGGCTGTGTGTGAAAGTGTCCTCTGGGAGAGCGTTTGCGGTCACACTGGCCTCTGCTGACTCATGCGCTGTAATTGCTGATTCACTCTCTATCCAGCATTAAAAAACACCAGCTCACATGCAAAAACCGGAGTCAAATAAAAAACTGAGAACAGAAAGGAGCAAAAATTGAATTTTTCAGGGGTGGGCGATGAAATGTGCAGATTCAGTGTATATGTGAGATATATGCGCCGCCTTTTCAGTTGAAAAGTCAGCAAGCATATGGTTAAGAAAATATATGATGTTTCAAATGTGATTTCCACCACAATTAATAATTTTGACCCTAACAAAACTTTGTGTAGCCTACACAGTTAGTGTACTTGATTACAAAGGCAACAACATTGAAGAATATGCCTAAAATAAGATAAGTGATTAGTAAAGAAAACAAAAATCTGCATTTTGCCGATTTATGCCTAAAGTGTAAAAATATTATTTGAAAAATTAACAGATATTATTTAGCATACTTAAAATGCTAGCAGTAAATTTATGAAATTACAAGTTATATTTTCTTTCATTTGTATACTTAATTTATCTATTTAAAAAAAAAAACATTTGTTTATGATTATTTGAATGTCTGGGTCTAGGAAAAGGGTAAAACCAAAAAGCAAAAACCAATAAAAAAAAAAAAAAAGAAATTAATACTTTTATTATTACCGTAGTTACTATTAAGGATGCATTAAATTGGTCGAAAGTGACAGTAAACCAATTTATAATGTTGCAAACATTTTCTATTTCAAAGAAATGCTGTTCTTTTTAAATCTTCTATTAATCATAGATTACTGAAAAAACAATGTATCATAGTTTCAAAAAAAAAAAAACATTAAGCAGCACAACTGTTGCCATGTATATAATAATAAGAAAACAGTTATTTATTTACAATATTGGTGTTTTTACTGTATTTTTGGTGAGCATAAGAGACTTCTTTCGAAAACATAAAAATCTTAAAAAAAAACAAAAAAACATTTGTAGTGTAAAACATAAAAGGCATGTTTGAAAATCAGCAAATGTTTTTGGAGGAGGTTTCCAAGACACTCTTGTGACTCTTTGATATAACAAAAAAGCAAAAAGCTTCAAATCCCTTGGACATAACAGCATAGTTGAA